GTAGCAATGGTGCAGCAGCTCTAGGACGACCCAGAAGGAAGTGTCTTTCCTCTGGGTTTAGAAGCAGCACCAGAAAACGGCTAATATTTCATTACAAATAAATGCTCCATAGTTCCAAAGGTGATTTTTCAATCATATACAATAGTTGAATTGTGATTGTTCTATATCCGTGAAAAGCTGATATAGAACATTTAAACTTATTTCTTCCTGACTGCTCTGTCATGTTCCCTCATCTTAGTGTTGCGTTTGTTTTCTGATGTTTTCCTACAAATTTCAGGGCCTTCACAAAACAGCTGGATTATTAGATTACAAAAGATTTACTCATGTCTTCTAACACTTCCTTAATGGCAATGGATGACTTTGGTTGCTAAGTTGGTCCAACATGTAAAATCCAATATAGTGTTTAGTCTGTGGTTCAAATGTTTAAGTGATCTTTTTTTAATATTTTGGTCAGTTTTCTGCTTCACTGTATTTCTCTTCTCTCTACAGTACAGATCCACCACACTACCAGCCTTCAAGTACTACGTCACCTGTGCCTGCCTCATATTCTGCTGCATATTCATTGTGCAGGTCCTCGTCTTGCCCAAGTGAGTCTTCAGCCCTTTCTCTTGACTTGCACAGCACACTTCACCAGCAGCTTCAGCCACTTCCAGCTGCAGGGGCATGCTGATGCGCAAAAAAAAGCTATTTGACGCCAGCTGTCTCATGGCAGGACCTGGCCGAACTGAAAGCTGCAGTGGAGCAAGAGGCAGAATGTTTAAAAAGCTGATCGAGATCAAAGAGCGCCGTGTCTGCTGGTGATTAGAGATCAGGTGGATCAAAGAGTGGCGTCAATTTAACGGCGAGGAGAGAAATTCGTAGTCATGCTAATTTACCGCTTCTCTGAGCCGAAGGTGTAATTTTGCCCCTGAGAGGGCATTGATTTTCTCTTTTTTACTTCTCTCCCATCCTGCTTCTTGCTACATTGCTCTGCACATGGAGACATTACCTCACCTGCTTCATGGGGGCCATATTTAACGTTAACAATGCTCTATGTTTGCTTTAGAAAAATGTATATGTTAAAAGACTTCCGTAAAATATCCTTTTATGTCCCATTAGTAGAAATAGATTGCAGCTCTGAGGCAGAACAGCAGAATAGTTACCATTGTTATGGATGGATCTGCTGAGTGTGTTTGTGTTGCAGAACTGCTGTGCTGGGGATCTCCTTTGGTCTGACATTCCTGCTGTTGGCTTTGATCCTCCTCCTTTGTTTCGCTGGTCACATTCTGGTGGGTTTGAATCGTCTGTCACTGATTACACACACAGCAACTGACGCATACGCACCATGTTAACCATATTAAGATGCTATTCAGCTCAGAAGCACATTATGTGGCCAACCCAAATCATTACCAGTATATTCTTAACTCTAACCCTGACTAAAACCTATCGTTAACATACCGTTGCTAACTGGCTTCACCGAAATCCCAAAAAACGATTTTGAAACACCTGAAAAAGCATAAATTAAATCAGCTGCTGTTCTATAACCCTAGAGGTCTAGCCCATCATATAAGGACACTTTATGAAATGGAAATGTCATGAAAGCTGCACAAAACTAAAATTTCGTTTTGAGTATACTCTGTGTATAGAAAATGATGATAAAAGTTGTCTTAAGTCTAAGTCATAAAACCATACAGTAGTAATGGATAAAAATTGCTTTATTGTTTCAGTATGAGGCTGCAAATTCGCAGGCACTACATACGTCCTGTCATGATCCTGGCCTTTGTGGACTTTTTGAGTTTTCATTAACATTTTAATTAATGTCATTCTGTAATTGTTTCTTTAAAATGTTTTGTGATTGTAGCTGTTTTGTTTTCTAGTCATTTTTAAGCAGTATTGTGTTTCTGTGTTACTCTCTGCTGCCCCTTTGTGCCAGCTTTCCTCTCCCCCTTTGCTCCCTTCTAGTCACTTGAGTCCACACAGTATCAGCTCGTAGCCCTTTCTTTGTTCTGTTCACCATATATACACCCCCCCTCCAGTTCCTCTGTGCTGGTATGTTGTTTTGTTGCTTCAATGCTTGCTCCACGTTTGTTGTTGCTCCCTGGCATCTCTTGTTTTTTTTTTTTGGTCTGTTATTGTGTCCCTGGATTTTTGTCTCTGTTGCCTCTGGAACCTCTATTAAATCAGCTATACTTATTTCTGTCTCCTTATCTCTGTATTTGGGTCCTCTTAAACCTCCACACAATCTGACACATCCAGAGGACGGGACATGAAAGTTAACTGGATAAAAACCTTAACCCTAAACAAAAGAAATTCCACTGCATTAAGACTGGGTTTGGGTCCCATAGGAGGCGAATAGGAGGCGAATAATCTAAACTGGTAGCATAAACCAGTTCAAACACAAATATAGACCCACATAACACATGTAGGACCAACTTACTGTTTTACGATTCTCAAGTTAGTTTCAAGTTTTTTATCCAAAAGTCTTGAAACCACTTGAAGTTGCATTTAGAGCATGAACCCATTTGGAAAATTTAGGAAACTTGGCAGCAGCAATTTTACTCTCTGTTTTAACTGTGATTTGTTTTTTTGTTTTTCTGTTTGTTCTATTTTTAGTAAAATCTGTGAGTGACGTGTAAAGGATGTTCCAGAGCTTTGAGCCTCTTAATAAAACACTAAACTATGTTTGAGCTTTATGAGAGTAAGGAGGCCCGATAAGACAATTATTATGAGTCGGATATTGATGAGATGAAAACAGTTAAAGAGATAAAAGAAGCAAAGACTGTTGGCTTATGTTTCTTTTACTATTTTAAAACTAAATGTATTTTAAGTTACCTGATTCCACCTGAATTGTTAAACTATTTTGAAACTTTATCCTTTTTATCCACCGTTCATGTATGTGAATTATCTTACAAACACTTAAAAACTCAGATTTATATGTTTAAACCATTTCTTCTCTCCTATTCTGTAATTGCTGATTTAAATCGCATCTGAAAACATTTAAAGTTTTACAGTAAATTTATAGAAATCCAGGCAGTGGTTGAAGCATATGAAGAAATCTGCTCTGCATTCATTCAGGAACTGAGAAGCCCCGAAGAGCCGACTCTCATGAATAAATGATTTCATGCCTTCACCGCCAATCTCCATATCTGTTCCTCTGGAACAGTAGAAATCACTGAGCACGTCGGCTCATAAGATCCAAGTCAAATGTCGACCTCTGGACACATTCAAGTTTTGTACTATCATGAGATGAAACCTCAGGCTTTCATTAATTATTTGCAGTAAGTTGTCGTTTTAGAGCCTTGCAGTGTAAAACAAAGAGCCTATGGAGGATTTTAGCCTTTATACACATTTCTGGATATTATTTCCCTATTAAATTCAAAATGAGAAACAAAGAAAGCTAAAGCATCTCATTCTTTGTTTTTAACTAATATTGTTTGATGAACTAATTTCAAAACTTCTGCAACTTCTTATTTGTTGTTTTCTGTTTGAGTCCAATTAAAAGTTTTTTCTCTTAGGACAGTCAGAGATCAAAGCTGTGAGGCTTTATTTTTGTCCATTCTTAATGCAGACATGTCAGGACTGCAGGTGACTGAGCACTCTTTCACATAACATAACAAAATGGATCCATATTATAGTAATAAAAAAATGCTTGCTTTTACTCATTCAACAACACATTTTTCTTCCTCTGCAATGTTTCATCTCAGATGACTGAAAAAGAAAGCTGATGTATCTCTGAAAATATAAAGCATCATTGCATTTGCTCTGTGGATTCTGAGAAAAGCAACCTAAAGTAATCATTTTCACATCTAAAGAATCCTCTTTCGCAGCTCATGGATGTCGGTTCTGTTCAAGGAATTCCCAAATTATTGCATAGCATTTTTCAAATTCAAGATTTGCATACAAAACCCAAATGCATTTTGTTACAAACTCATTGCACTTGTGGGTTCCATTTATGGTTGCATGCCGCCATAACCTATTCTTTCATAGCATCAGTAGGAACGTCTTACATGCTGAGGTGCTGGATTCTATCCCCCTTCAGCCACTAAAATGACTGAATTATTATAATTATTATTAAAGTGACATAATTAATGATTTGGAAGAATGATCTAGTAATGTTGGAAAATACTTGTGTATCATGTTGTGTGTGTAAAGGTTATTTTTCTTCAAAAATGCTTTTTCAATTCAAAATGTGAGAGTTAGCTTCGAGTTTGAAGCCTTTTAGAGTAGCCAAACCCTTTTTGACTTTTAAAATATGCAAATTGAACTGAAAAAATGGTCTGTTCCTTAAGAACG